GTTGAGAGTTGGGGGGACCTGTGGGGACCCGCTGTCCCACACCATATCAGCATGTGCCCCTGAGCAGTGGGGACACTTGGGGACCCCCTTGCCCTCCCCTTCCCCCATATTAGTGTGTGCCCCAGAGCCTTGGGGACATTTGGGGACACCCTTGTCCCTCCCAGCATCAACCCAGCACTCGCATCTGAGGGCCCCTCTGTCCCTGTCCTCTCTCAGGGACACCCAGGGCAGTGGGGTGCTGGAGCCTGGGTGGATCCATGGCCCTCGAGGGGCCCCGGGGGAGTGTCCCCATCCCCTGACATGTGTGTCCCCCCTCAGGTGGTGAAGGTGAGGCCGAATGACAAGGACGCCAAGCTGAAGTACCAGGAGTGTCACAAGATCGTCAAGCAGAAGGCCTTCGAGCGGGCAATCGCTAGCGATGAGCACAAGCGCTCTGTTGTTGACTCCCTCGACATCGAGAGCATGAGTGAGCCCCCCCAATCCCCCCTGCTCCTTGTGCCCCCCCAAAATCTCCTGCAGGCAGGGCAGAAGGACGAGGGGCCTGCAAAGGCCCTTTGAAGTTCCTGTGGGGGGCTTGGAGGTCACTGTGGGGGTCTCAGGGAAGCCTTGAGGGTCTTCAGCAAAGGCTCAAGGTCCCTTGGGAATATCCTGGGGGTCTCATGAGAGTATTGGAGGTCTCCATAAAGATTTTTGGGGTGAGAGTGAGGGCTGTGAGAGTCTTAGAGGGACCATGAGTGTCCCCAGTAAAGGCTCAGGGTCCCCATGAGAGTTTTAGGGGTCTGTGAGGGTCCCTAGCAGAGACTTGGGGTCTCTGTGAGGGTCTTGGGGCCCCTTTGAGAGCCCCCAGTGCAGGCTCAGGGTCCCAGTGAGGGTCTGGGGCGAGTCCGTGGGGGTCCCTTTGAAGATACTTGACAAAAGCTCGGGGTCACCTCGGAGGGTCTCGGGGCCCAGCAGTGCCTCTGGGTCCCAGTGACAGCCTTGAGGAGCTGCGAGGCTCTCCAGGAGGGTCTTGGGGGACCATGGAGATCCTTGTGAGAGTCCCAAGCAGAGACTTAGGTTATCCAGAAGTGTCCTTGGGAGGCTCTTGGGATCCCCACTAGGGTCTTGAGGCACCCATGAAGATCCCCAGCAGGGGTTTGGGATCATCATGAGGGTTAATTTTGCAGCCATTGAGGATGAGTACAGTGGCCCCAAGCTGGATGGTGGCAAGGTGACATTGGCTTTCATGAAGGAGCTGATGCAGTGGTACAAGGAGCAGAAGAAACTCCACAGAAAATGTGCCTACCAGGTACTCAGCTTCCACCAAACTCCCCCTAGTCCCCTGCTGGCCTCTGCACTGTCCCCAGATGCCACACGTCCCCCTCCTTGTCATCTCTGCTGACGCTTTGTCCTGGCAGATCCTGGTGCAGGTGAAGGAGGTGCTGGCCAAGCTCCCCACATTAGTAGAAACAACGTTGAAGGAGGTGGGTGCCCCCCTCACCGGGTGCTGGTGCCGCTGGGTGTGTATGGGGGCAAAGTCCCCAAGCGGTGATATGCCACCCTGGCTCATCCCAAACACAGACGGAGAAGGTGACGGTGTGCGGGGACACCCACGGGCAGTACTACGACCTGCTGCACATCTTCGAGCTCACTGGGCT